TAATTTCTTCTAGATGGTCTCAGGGAGGTGAGGGCATGTTCTGAATGGTCAGTGCCCAGGACAGCAGAGGGAGGTGTCCCAGGCCCGACCAGGCATCAATGTGAGGGATGCAGGGAACCCTCAGATAGGAATTGTGAGGAGAGGGCTCCTGGGTGAGGCACGTGTCCTCAGGTCAGCAGAGCAGAGGAGGCCCAGGCAGAGTGAGGAGTCAATGTGAGATACATACCCTGAGTGTCTATCCAAGTCCCCAGCCACAGTCCCCAACACCACCTGCTCACAGTCAGCCCTCAAAGCCTTGGGCTGTGCTGGGTGGCTATACCCTGAGGCGCTTTCTCACATCATCCTACAGGTTGCTGGGAGGGGAGACAAACCATTCAGGAAGACAGGAGCCCAGTGAGGCCCCAGAGCACCCCCCAAAATAGAATGCCTGTAAGTCAGCCTTTGTCAGAGCTCCCAAGGGTGAGCATCTCTGCTGAAGCCACTGACCCTCTCCCTCTCTCCCCCAGGTTCCTGGGAACCCATCTCCCATAATCCTGCTCACACTTCCACCTGCTGCCCACAACAAGAGTCAACATGTCTCACTCCTCAAAATGCCAACGCCTCACATTTGAGCCAAACTTTCAGGCCCATAGTGAGATAATGTTTCCCATACCTGAGGAGGAGGACTCCTCCATTTCCTCTGGCTCTTTCAACTTCTCCTTCCCCTCCTCCTCTCCCTCCTCCTACCCTCCTTCCTCTCCTGTATTCCCAGGACCCCTGAAGGAGGAAGAGGAAAAGGAGGCTGAGAAGGAGAGAGAGAACAAGAAAGGGGAGAAGGGGGAGCAGGGGGATTCTGAGGAGTGGGAGGAGAAGAAGGCAGAACAGGAGAAGGGTTGGAAGAGGAAGCTGAAGAAGCAGGAGCAGCCTGCTTCTAAGACATCAAGACCTCCCCAGCGTCCTCAGAGGTCCATGGCACGGAGCACATCAGTGAGGGCCCCAGCAACCAAGACAATGAGGATACAAGCTCCCTGCAGACCTCAGCAGACCCTGAGTCTCGGTGTGGAGACCGCATAGATAAGAATGTGACCAATTTGGTGCGTATCATGATCCTCAGGTATCGTTTGAGGAAGCCTATTACAAAGGCACAGATGCTACAAGTTATTAGCAAAAGGGGCAAGCGTCAATTCCCTGTGATTTTTAAGAAAGCTTGTAAGTGCTTGGAGGTGATCTGTGGCATTGATGTGAAGGAAGTGGTCCCTGCCACCCACTCCTATGTCCTTGTCAACTCACTGGATCTCACCTATGATGAGATGCTTGGTGACCATGAGAGCATGCCTAAAAACGGCCTCCTGATAATCATCCTGGGTATGATCTTCCTGGAGGGTAACTGTGCCCAGGAGGAAGCCATTTGGGAGTTCCTGAATATGATGGGAGTTTATGCAGGGAGGGAGCATTTTATTTATGGGGAGCCTAGGAAGCTCCTCACCAGAACCTGGGTTCAGGAGAATTACCTGGAGTACCAGCAGGTGCTTCATAATGACCCACCACGCTACCAATTCAGGTGGGGTCCAAGGGCCCATGCTGAAACCAGCAAGTTGCAAGTTCTGGAATTTTTGTCCAAGATCAAGGGGATTGACCACATCTCCTTCTCATGCTGGTATGAGGAGGCTTTGAGAGATGAGCAAGAGAGAGCCCAGGCCAGAATTGGCCCTGTGGGTCATGCTGCTGCCAAGTTCATGGCACAGCCTCTCCTTCCCCAGCTGAAGAATGAGAAGAAATCCTAACGCTGTGTTAGAAAAGGGCACTCACATTTCTAAATAGAGGAGAGTCAGAGGCAGGGTCAGGCTGGGGAGAATACAGTGTACAACAGCTTTGTGTTCTTTGTTGATGGCTTAGAGGTTTATCCTTTGTCCCCCCTCCTTTGGGGTTTTCTCAAATACTGTTCCTTTTCATGGAAGGTTTATTAGCTTTAGAATCTAAGTGGATGAATGAAAGTGGTCTCACTTGCATTGTTACTATTCAGGTTTATGAATGAATTTTTATGTTTTGAAAAATAAATTGGGAAAACTTCCATTTTTTGCGATCTGGAAGAAAATATGATGACACTGGAATGGGAATTTCCTTGGAAATGTGAACGAAGCCTGTGGAAAACAGAGGGAGTGGGAAATATAACAGGTGGTTAATTTTTGGATTCCTTAACCATTTTAGTTTATTCTGTAACATTAAAAGATATATACCTGGATTTTCTTGGCTTATTCAAGAAAATTGGTGTTATCATAGAAAATGTTAATAAAGGAATTTTACAAATGCTCACCTGCTCATTTATTTGCCAAACATTAATTGTATATCTCCTCTTTGGAAAACACTGCGTTAATAGTTGAGATACTAGGACAAGCAAGACACGCCACTACCCAAAGAATAGTAGAGGCTAGGCTAGGAGCAGCACTCACATCAGGAAGATGGTGAGATGTCCTCCAATACCTACAGAACAAGTGAAAACAAGGAGGGAGGAGATGAGATTCCAGATGGGAGCACTCAAATGAAAATGCCCTGAGCCAAGGCAGTTTGGGGCTAAGGCAAACTGCAATTCCTTCCCTGGGAGTTAATTTTAAATTAAGCTGTGGGTGGTGGCAGGGACCAGGCCCTCAGGGACTGTGTTCTTCAAGTGTGAGAAAAGCTGACATGAAAAACTTTTGGATCCTGGATAAACCAGGGAGAAATCTCCACCTTGGGTTGGGTATGGAAAGTGTCCTGAACTTTTTGTGCTAGTGCAGTGAACAACACAGTGCATCAACTAGGGGTTCTAGACACATCTTGAGTGTTATTAGGCCAACCCTAAGCAATGTCTAGATTTTGGTGGTAGTGAAATGAAGGAAGATAGCGCTTTGATGGATGAGTAGCTGAGAGGGAAGGAAGGAGTTGGTCTTTTAGTTAGCTGTGTAAGACTAGCCTATGCCCAAATTAATATATCCTCTGAGAGGAAACATTTAACAGATTTTATTTGTGAAGCTGTATTTTTGCCTGACTTACATTCCATCTCCTGTTGAGCTGCATATTATTTAGAGAATGTCCTCGATTACAACTAGATCCCAGTGGAGATAGATGGTGTGAGGTTTGGGGGACAAAATAATATTGGAAAGTTTGAATCGATGTTAGGTACTGTGCCAGATGCTTTTCTTACTTTTCATACATTCCAGCAGTTCTTCCTACAAGGCACCCATTTAACAGGTGATGGATCTGAGGCTCATGTCGTTCAGTAATTTCCCCAAGATTTTACTGCTACTAAGTGACAGGTCTGAGATAGGAAGGAAAGCTGAGCAGTGAGAGAGCTTGGGTTCTGCTTTTATTGGGGTTAAATGTGGGTACCTATGCTGTCATGGGCTCACTCTTTATTGGGTAATGTAAAACACAATAGTTGGTATTTAAAGCTCAGGGATGAGCAAAATACCAAGTAGCCCAAATGGTCAATTATTGAAGTCAACTGAGATTTTGAAGATTAACGAACCTCAGTGGGGGCTACATGCCTGGCTATTTATCTAGTTCTGTGCCTAGCAATACATGATAGTATCTGGTGTAACATAGGCCAATATTCATAGCCACTGGGCACCTTTTTTGTTATTTAGGAACAGCCCAGAATCTTTTGAGGGCTGCCTGAGCCATGAACGCCATCTGGATCTCCTTCAAAGCAGGTGCTCACGCAAACCTGTATCTGGAAATTTACTATGGTGATTAGGTCTAGTTATTGGCATGGGTATCCTGGCCTACTAAATTACTCAAGAGTATTGCTCAACCAAATGATGCAGGATAACTGCTATGCTCTTCCTGGCATGATATATTGGTGGTTGTAAGGCAGCAGGTGTTATCTGGCATGCTGATGGTCCATGTATCCCCACTGACCTTCTTATTCAGACTATTCTGTGATATTCAGCTGCTAATGAGGATTCTAATATTTCACAAGCCCATTTATATAAATTGTCCAGTACCATTCATATAGATTCTCCACCATTTCTCCTCCTGGACCCTTCTTCCTACACTGAACTCTGGACTCATAGCACTGACTGCCAGCTTGTCTGGGGCTCTCTGGACTTATTTTTGCACATGGTCTCTCTTGTGGGCTCTAATAATTGGCCTATCCAGAATGCTCTCTGTGCCCCTCCAGACTTAGGGTTTCTAGCTGGTCATATTCCCTGGCTTCTAGTCATTCTGACTGAATCCTTGCTTCTCTAAGTAAAGGGGAAATGCCATGCAGACATTTGAGGATTTTAAATCATACCCAGAGGCATCCTTTTACTTGGGCCATCACTGCATAAATCCAGCTTTATATTGGTGAGGGATTAAGTTGATTTTTTGTTTAACCTAATCAGAAAATGGGAGACATAAATTAAAATAACATTGGCGCAACATTTTTTTACTCATAACTTTTAGCAAAATTTAAAAGATTGGTAAATTCTATACTAATAATAGAGGAATATGCCAATTATCTGGGACACCATCACATCAAGACCGTTCAGCAGGGTGGGTGGGGCTGTGGGGCCATGGGGTGGACTCTGGGTCTCACGTGATTTCATCCTGCCCAGGCAGATTCCCCTGTGGCCCCACAGCTAAATCCCAATGCAAACCTGGGTTTTATTAAACTTTACTGGAGCTGCTCCCCACATCCCCACCCCCTGTCTCAGGACTGCAGTAGGGCGCCTTGGCAGCCTCCTGACAGGTGGGCAGTTGGGGAGAGCTGAGTAGGGCAGGGTTGGCAGGGAGCCATGGAGGGCCAGGGCAGCTAGAGACAAGCACACCAAGATCTGGGGTCTGAGGAGAGTGACTGACAGGAGCCCGGACTGCAAAGAAGGAAGAGGAAGTGGCCATGGGGAGCTCTTCCAATCCCCCCTGCACAGACAACCTACCCCAGCCCCCACACCTCCAGCATCTCTAGAGACAACCACTGCTACAGGGCTGCTGGCCAGAGCCCTCTCCTCCAAGGCCTGTGGCACCCTCTGTAAAGCTTAAATAGCTACAGTCCCAGGAAACAATCATACCCACAATCAGCACAATCAGCACCAGCTTCCTGCGAGGGTACCCTTGGGCTTAAAAATAACAATCTCTTCCCATTTAGACATCACTTATTTGATGAAACATTTCTAGGTTTATTAGCTCAGAACCTTCTCATGACAATCCAGTGAGATAGGTGGAGGAGAGATTACAATTCCCATGGTATATACTTATGTATTCAGAAATGAAGCTTAGAGAGGAAAAGTGTCAAATCTAGTAGTTCACGAGGTGCAGCACACGCCCCACTGGGGGGAGAGGGCAATTTGATTTTAAGTGGAGGAAATTCGAAAATGAGTTAACAGTGAATTTTTTGCATTTCTTTTTTTTAATTGATTTTTCACAGAGAGGAAGAGAGAGGGATAGAAAGTTAGAAACATCGATGAAAGAGAATCATCGATCAGCTGCCTCTTGCACACCCCTTATTGGGGATGTGCCCACAACCAAGGTACATGCCCTCAACTGGAATCGAACCCGGGACCTTTCAGTCTGCAGGCCGACGCTCTATCCACTGAGCCAAACCGGTCCTGGCAATTTTTTGCATTTCTTATGGTTCTAGGGGGCCTCATCTATAGCGTATCCTATATAATAAAAGGCTAATATGCAAATGACCGAATGGTGGAATGATGGGTCACTATGATGCGCACTGACCACCGGGTGGCAGACACTCAATGCAGGAGCTGCTCCTGGTGATCCTTATGCTCCCACACAGGGAGCACCATTCAGCTAGAAGCCGGGCTCACAGCTGGAGACCACAGTGGCAGTGGTAAGAGCCTCTCCTGCCTCCGTGACAATGCTAAGGATGTCCAACTGATGGCTTAGTGGGCCTCAGAATAAGCTTTGAAATAATACACACCAGATTAGTAATTGTAATTTCCTTTGAGATAGAGGTTGAATTTTGGAGGAATTTGATAAAGGGAGTAATGTGATTGATTTGTGCGTTTACAATATTTAACAAGAATATATATGAACTACCACCTTTCTACTTTTATAAGTAAAATATTTAAATAAGCCCCAACTCAGAAATAGGTGTGTATTAATCAGTTAAAGTAACTGTTAGCTGATGAAATAGACAAAACCTGAAATATGAGTGGTTTAACACAACACATTTTTTTGTTTTTATTATTCATATGAATTATGGTTTTCATTGGCAGGTTCATTATGTGCTCAGGCAACTCAGGGATCCTAGCTGCTTCTACTTTTTTGTAGCTCTGCCATTTCGGCACAGGGTCTCCATGTTTGCTGCTGAATAATAGAGGAAGCATGGAAATGGAATACTGGCTCAAGTGGATGTCCCAAGAAGGAGAGAAAAACAAGATATGAATGAACACTTGTAGCCTCTCCCATAACTTGTCATTAGTTATAATGACAATAAAAAGCAACTACTCAATAAAAAGCAACTACTATAATTTTTATGACAACAACTCTCTTCATTTATTTCTTTTAAATATATTTTATTGAGAGGGAGAGGAATAGAGATTTAGAAACAGCGACAAGAGAGAAACATTGATCAGCTGTCCTCTGCACACCCCCTACTGGGGATGTGCCCACAACTGAGGTACATAACCTTGACTGCAATCAAATCTGGTGTTACAGAACAGAAATTTTTGAGCATGCTTCCCAGCTGCAACACACAAAATAGCCCATGAGAACAGGATGCCAGTAAGGATGCCAGTAAGCCTTACAGGATAAATCATTGTCAGCTTTCTTGAGAAAGGGTGCCAATAAGCCTTACAAGATCACTGTCAACTTTCCTGAGAACGGGATGGAGTTACTTAATCCACCAGGTGCCAGGTCCCTGTAAATAACATGCTGACATTACTTAAGAAAAACTGCTTTGTTTTAAATTGTTTGCTCTGCAAAAACAGGATGTAGTGAATGTGTCTAAAAACTGTCCTTTACAAAGGGTGGGGGCTGCTCTCTGGTCTCATGGGTGGAGAGAGAGCAGTCCCGGACAGCTATTAAAGGCTCCCTACATTTTAATTTGGTCAGGACTCCAGTGGTTGTTTACTCGTGTTCACTCCACAACACTGGGGCCCTTCAGTCCACAGGCTGATGCTCTATCCACTGAGCAAAACTGGTTAGGGCACTCTCTTTATTTCTTAAAGGAGTTTCTGAGAAAACCAATTTTCTTGAAATTCTCCAACTTTTTCAAAAGCCTATAATTTGACAGGTGCTTTCAAATATAGGATCACATCTAGTTTTCAAAGGATTCTATAAATCTTAGCAGGTAGAAAATAGACATCCTTCTTCATTCAGTATCACTTTTCTGTATTGTACATTGTAATAACCTCTATATTCTCAGCAGAATGAGAATAGTCTCTTTCCTTGTGATGATGCATAGTAAAAATATTAATTTATGATCCTCAGCTACATTCCACATGACTGAACATTCCTGAAGACCTTTATTTATTTATTTATTTATTTATTTATTTATTTATTTAAATATTTTTATTGATTTTTTACAGAAAGGAAGGGAGAGATAGAGAGTTAGAAACATCGATGATAGAGAGTCATTGATCAGCTGCCTCTTGCACACCCCCTACTGGGGACGTGCCCGCAATCAAGGTACATGCCCTTGACCAGAATCGATCCCGGACCCTTCAGTCCGCAGGCTGACACTCTATCCACTGAGCCAAACCGGTTTTGGCTTCCTGAAGACCTTTAGAGGTACCTTTTCCTGTGGACAGGCATACAGACAAAAGGCAATGCAAGGATTTTTGTTTTAGTCAATAAGGTTGCTATAACAAGTTATTATATATTGGGTGGTTTAAACAACTGAAATTTATTATTCAGTTGCAAAGTCCAAGATCACAGTGCTGGAAGATTCGGTGTCTGGTGAGGATCTTATTCCTGGTTTGCAGATAGCCATCTTTTCAGTTTATCAACATATTGCCAAATACATTAATTTCATCATGGATACTTCACCTTCATAAGCTTGTCCAAAACTAATTATGTCCTAAAAACCCCACCTTCTAATATTACCCCACTTGGGGTTAAGTAGTACTAGAAAGAGAAATGGAGTAAAAGCAGGAAAACCACCTCAGGCTAGGAGTGGAAACAATGCAGGCCTTAGATGAATTCAGACCAGGATTACTATCTCAGCCTTGTCACTTAATAGCAGTAAAATCTTGGGGAAATTACTGAACGACATGAGCCTCAGATCCATCACCTGTTAAATGGGTGCCTTGTAGGAAGAACTGCTGGAATGTATGAAAAGTAAGAAAAGCATCTGGCACAGTACCTAACATCGATTCAAACTTTCCAATATTATTTTGTCCCCCAAACCTCACACCATCTATCTCCACTGGGATCTAGTTGTAATCGAGGACATTCTCTAAATAATATGCAGCTCAACAGGAGATGGAATGTAAGTCAGGCAAAAATACAGCTTCACAAATAAAATCTGTTAAATGTTTCCTCTCAGAGGATATATTAATTTGGGCATAGGCTAGTCTTCCACAGCTAACTAAAAGACCAACTCCTTCCTTCCCTCTCAGCTACTCATCCATCAAAGCGCTATCTTCCTTCATTTCACTACCACCAAAATCTAGACATTGCTTAGGGTTGGCCTAATAACACTCAAGATGTGTCTAGAACCCCTAGTTGATGCACTGTGTTGTTCACTGCACTAGTACAAAAAGTTCAGGACACTTTCCATACCCAACCCAAGGTGGAGATTTCTCCCTGGCTTATCCAGGATCCAAAAGTTTTCCATGTCAGCTTTTCTCACACTTGAAGAACACAGTCCCTGAGGGCCTGGTCCCTGCCACCACCCACAGCTTAATTTAAAATTAACTCCCAGGGAAGGAATTGCAGTTTGCCTTAGCCCCAAACTGCCTTGGCTCAGGGCATTTTCATTTGAGTGCTCCCATCTGGAATCTCATCTCCTCCCTCCTTGTTTTCACTTGTTCTGTAGGTATTGGAGGACATCTCACCATCTTCCTGATGTGAGTGCTGCTCCTAGCCTAGCCTCTACTATTCTTTGGGTAGTGGCGTGTCTTGCTTGTCCTAGTATCTCAACTATTAACGCAGTGTTTTCCAAAGAGGAGATATACAATTAATGTTTGGCAAATAAATGAGCAGGTGAGCATTTGTAAAATTCCTTTATTAACATTTTCTATGATAACACCAATTTTCTTGAATAAGCCAAGAAAATCCAGGCATATATCTTTTAATGTTACAGAATAAACTAAAATGGTTAAGGAATCCAAAAATTAACCACCTGTTATATTTCCCACTCCCTCTGTTTTCCACAGGCTTCGTTCACATTTCCAAGGAAATTCCCATTCCAGTGTCATCATATTTTCTTCCAGATCGCAAAAAATGGAAGTTTTCCCAATTTATTTTTCAAAACATAAAAATTCATTCATAAACCTGAATAGTAACAATGCAAGTGAGACCACTTTCATTCATCCACTTAGATTCTAAAGCTAATAAACCTTCCATGAAAAGGAACAGTATTTGAGAAAACCCCAAAGGAGGGGGGACAAAGGATAAACCTCTAAGCCATCAACAAAGAACACAAAGCTGTTGTACACTGTATTCTCCCCAGCCTGACCCTGCCTCTGACTCTCCTCTATTTAGAAATGTGAGTGCCCTTTTCTAACACAGCGTTAGGATTTCTTCTCATTCTTCAGCTGGGGAAGGAGAGGCTGTGCCATGAACTTGGCAGCAGCATGACCCACAGGGCCAATTCTGGCCTGGGCTCTCTCTTGCTCATCTCTCAAAGCCTCCTCATACCAGCATGAGAAGGAGATGTGGTCAATCCCCTTAATCTTGGACAAAAATTCCAGAACTTGCAACTTGCTGGTTTCAGCATGGGCCCTTGGACCCCACCTGAATTGGTAGCGTGGTGGGTCACTATGAAGCACCTGCTGGTACTCCAGGTAATTCTCCTGAACCCAGGTTCTGGTGAGGAGCTTCCTAGGCTCCCCATAAATAAAATGCTCCCTCCCTGCATAAACTCCCATCATATTCAGGAACTCCCAAATGGCTTCCTCCTGGGCACAGTTACCCTCCAGGAAGATCATACCCAGGATGATTATCAGGAGGCCGTTTTTAGGCATGCTCTCATGGTCACCAAGCATCTCATCATAGGTGAGATCCAGTGAGTTGACAAGGACATAGGAGTGGGTGGCAGGGACCACTTCCTTCACATCAATGCCACAGATCACCTCCAAGCACTTACAAGCTTTCTTAAAAATCACAGGGAATTGACGCTTGCCCCTTTTGCTAATAACTTGTAGCATCTGTGCCTTTGTAATAGGCTTCCTCAAACGATACCTGAGGATCATGATACGCACCAAATTGGTCACATTCTTATCTATGCGGTCTCTACACTGAGACTCAGGGTCTGCTGAGGTCTGCAGGGAGCTTGTATCCTCATTGTCTTGGTTGCTGGGGCCCTCAACTGATGTGCTCCGTGCCATGGACCTCTGAGGACGCTGGGGAGGTCTTGATGTCTTAGAAGCAGGCTGCTCCTGCTTCTTCAGCTTCCTCTTCCAACCCTTCTCCTGTTCTGCCTTCTTCTCCTCCCACTCCTCAGAATCCCCCTGCTCCCCCTTCTCCCCTTTCTTGTTCTCTCTCTCCTTCTCAGCCTCCTTTTCCTCTTCCTCCTTCAGGGGTCCTGGGAATACAGGAGAGGAAGGAGGGTAGGAGGAGGGAGAGGAGGAGGGGAAGGAGAAGTTGAAAGAGCCAGAGGAAATGGAGGAGTCCTCCTCCTCAGGTATGGGAAACATTATCTCACTATGGGCCTGAAAGTTTGGCTCAAATGTGAGGCGTTGGCATTTTGAGGAGTGAGACATGTTGACTCTTGTTGTGGGCAGCAGGTGGAAGTGTGAGCAGGATTATGGGAGATGGGTTCCCAGGAACCTGGGGGAGAGAGGGAGAGGGTCAGTGGCTTCAGCAGAGATGCTCACCCTTGGGAGCTCTGACAAAGGCTGACTTACAGGCATTCTATTTTGGGGGGTGCTCTGGGGCCTCACTGGGCTCCTGTCTTCCTGAATGGTTTGTCTCCCCTCCCAGCAACCTGTAGGATGATGTGAGAAAGCGCCTCAGGGTATAGCCACCCAGCACAGCCCAAGGCTTTGAGGGCTGACTGTGAGCAGGTGGTGTTGGGGACTGTGGCTGGGGACTTGGATAGACACTCAGGGTATGTATCTCACATTGACTCCTCACTCTGCCTGGGCCTCCTCTGCTCTGCTGACCTGAGGACACGTGCCTCACCCAGGAGCCCTCTCCTCACAATTCCTATCTGAGGGTTCCCTGCATCCCTCACATTGATGCCTGGTCGGGCCTGGGACACCTCCCTCTGCTGTCCTGGGCACTGACCATTCAGAACATGCCCTCACCTCCCTGAGACCATCTAGAAGAAATTGAGGGTGCACTGTATCCAGCCACTGTGCCTCAGGGCCTCCCAGATCTCACAGAAGGAGAAGGGTAGAACTGGGTATGACTTCAGTACTCTGGTGAGGGTGTGCTGCCCTCAGTGCTCACTCAGGACCCTTACCTTAAATCCTGGCAGAGTCTGGGACTCCTCCTCTGCTGACCTGTTATGTCTCCCCTCAGAGCAATTCCTCCTGAGAACAAGGCCCTCACCTCCCTGAGAACCCCTGGACAAAAGTGAAGAGGCTCCACCTCTTGCCAACCCTGCTAGGCCCTTCCAGTGCTGATGGCAAGGGCTGGGCCCATCAGGTGGATGGTGGGATGTCCTCAGTTCTCTTTTAGATCTCACGGCCATGCTGTGCACAGTCTCTTCTTTCTGTGGTGGGAATTACCTTTGTTCCTCACCCAGGCTCCTTTCTTGGGACTCCTGGTAGAGCTGGAACTCCTTCCTCTTCAGACCTGAGGTGGCTCCCACAGCTGACCTGCCTTCGTATGCAGACTGAGGCCCTCAACTCCCTGAAACCATCGCCAAGAGAAAAGTAAAGGGACATCACATCCAGCCTTCCCTGCCCGGGGTCTCCCAGGAATGACAGCAGGGATGGGTGGTCCCTCTGTCATCCCTCAAGAGATTCCTCTCTGCTCCTGGAAGGGTCTGGACCTACCTCATGGTGTGACTAGAAATCAGGCCCTCAGACCAAGGCCTCACCTCCCAGAAACACCTCCACCCACCCCATGCAGGAAGTGAGGGACACCACATCTCAGAATTACTGTCCAGATCCCCCATGGTGGATATTGGAAACAGGGTGGCATTTCTGTGAGCAACTCCTCTTCTGTCCGAGTTGAGGGGTACCCTTAGTCCCCCTTTCAAAGTCCTTATCTCACCTTGATGCCTCCCAGATCCTGGAATTCGTTCCTCTGCTGTTGTCACCAGCTCAGACCAAGGCCTTCACACCCCTGGGACACTACAGACAAAAAGAAAAAGACACCAAATCTAGACCCCCCCCCCTCCTGGGGTCTGTTTTGGCATGGGGAATATAGTCAGTCCTCCCTCAAAGTGTTTATTCATCTGTATTCCTGGCTAGGTCTGCCCTGCCCTCCTCTGACCTGAAGCTCCTCCTCCAGCCATGACCTCACTCTCCTCCCTGAAGCACTCCATCACCTTGATTGCTGGTAGAGCTCCTGGCAAATGTGAGTTTTCCTATCTGGCCATGCCTGCCTGCTCATATCCTCCTAGGGATGGCATTCTGAGGGGTCAATCTTTTGGGGGAGAGGAGCCTTCAGTCCTAACTAAAGGTCCTTACCTTGATTCCTGCCAGAACCTGAGACTCTGCCCTCTTCTGATCTGCTGTGGCTCCCCCTAAAACTGTTGCCTCCTTAGACCACCTCTCTGAGACCTACCTCCAGACAAAAGCAAGGAAAGGCCACATAGGGCCAACATTGCCATGCTCTCCCGATGTTGGCAGGAGGGGAATGGTTGGACTGGGGCCCTCTAGCTATTGGTTATTTCCAGGGCAGGCAGGCTGAGGCCCCTTCTCACAGCCTTCTGCTTGATGCCTGGCAGGATCTGGCTGTATCCTCTATCAACTAGCCTGAAGTCACACACCTCAGTAAAAGCCACAGATCCCCCGGAATCCCAAAGTGGGAGTCAGAAAACAGCACATTTGGTGACCCTCCTGGGCATTTCTGTGTGATCCCTCTCCATGGGGTCAGAGGTCCTCCCCCAGAGTCTTCATGTTGACACTTTTCAGGGTGTCAGAGCCTCCGTCTGCTGAACTCAGGCCACACTCAGGGGAACAAGGTGTTCACCTTCATGAGTCACCCCCATTCCCCAGGGAGGGGGTAGTGAGGGAGGGCCACATTCAGTAACCATGCCCCTAGTCCTCCCATGTTGAGAGCAAAGGCAGAGAGTGCCTGGGTCCTATCTGTTGTGCTGTAGGAAGTGCTCTCAGTCCTGCCAAAAGCCAACCCCAGTTTGGGCCTTGGACTCTCCCCCTGCCAGGCTGCTCTGGCTCTCTCAGAGCTAGGTTGTCTCTCCCTTGAGAACCTCCAGATAAAAGCAAAGAGAGGCTGCATTCTGCTGCTCCTGCCCAGGGTGTACTAGGGCTGCGGCAGAGGCAGAACACTATCTATCCTAATGTGTGTATGTTGGGGGGGAGGGGGTATCTTCTGTCCTCTCACAGTCCCTCAATGTATTCAGTGCCTCCTCAGATGAATGGCTCACTTCCAAGAGGCAAGCCCCACAACTTCCTGGAGAAAGTGAGGAAATACCACTGGTGACTGCTACTGCCTGTGTGCTCCCAGGGTTGACAGGAAGTGGAGTGGGGTGTTTGGGGAGCTCCTCTGTCTGAAATGAATGGTACCATCATCTATCCTCAAAGTGTTCATACTTTTTCCTGGCAGGTCCGGCATCTCCTCCCTTCTACTACTAGTCTGATCATGGTCCCTCAGCCCAGGGTCACTGTGTCCTTGAGATGCCAGAAAAGGAATCAGTGGTGCATAAAGAAGGGCCTCTGTGCTCCACAGCCCTGCCCAAGGCTTCTGTGAAAGTCAGGCTATCTTGGGACCTCCACAATCTGGATTTCCATGTCAGCACTCCTCTCTCAAGGTTCTCATCTTGAAGCCTGGCAGGGCCTAGGCCTCCTCCAGCTACTGACCTGAGTGTGCACCACACCCCTCACAAAAAGCTTCATGTCAGCCAGACTTCCAAACTCCCTGAGGTAAGCACAGAGGGAAGCCTTGGGCCCTGTTTGTGTGTGTGCATGTGTGTGCACGTGTGTGCATGTGTGTGCACATGCATACCCAGGCATGCACACGCGAGCAAGCCATGTGTCCATGCGTGCTGAGAGAGCACGCCCATATGTGCGCATGCGTGCTGAGCGGGCAGCCGCTGGGGCCCCTTTCTGTGGGAGTTCTCCCCTCAGTACCTTCTCAGAGAGCTTAGCAGAGGCAGGAACCCCTCCTGCTTCCCAGCTGCCACAGCCTCGTGTTCCTGAGACTCTGAGCTGGAAGGCGGGACTGGACACCCTGTATTTATTGAAGGGCCTCGCCAGTGGTCTCCCAGAGCCAACAGCAAGTTCATGGCAGAACCCCCACCTCCACACACTGAATGGCGGTTTCCTCCATTAGGCTGACCAGCCAGTGTCTCAGACGCCTTCTTCCACTGACCTGACACGGGGCCCACAAACCAAACCTCAAGCCCCTCAGATTCTGGAGACAGAACCGAAACGCCACACCCACCACCGATGCTTGGAGGTCCCCAGGACCTGGGCACCCCAGCACCCTGTTTGGCTCCCACCCTGTGCGGTGGGTCATGTCCCCCATCTTCCTCAGGGTGCTCACCTTCAAGCCAGGCAGAGCCTCGAATTAATTTCTCGCTCTTTGGACCTGACTCTGCAGGCCTCGGAGGAAGACCTCAGGTCCCTCAGGCTCCTGAGGCAAAAACGCCAAGAGAGCCGGATCCGGGCACGCTGCGTGGGGGCACCCTGGGACCACTGCAGGGGCGGGGCGGGGCGGGACTGGTGGCCTGTGTCTGTGGTGGGCGGTGCCTTCCTGGCTTTCTCAGAGGCCTCGCTCTGCTGATTGGCCAGTCCCCACCTCCCTCTCTGTGGGGATCTGAAGCCCCACCCCTCAGCGCCAGCCATGGAGGGCTGGACACAGCACATCCGGGAGCCTGCCTGGCTCTCCCAGGGTGCACAGCGAGGGCAGGGCGTGGGGGAGGAGGCAGGAGACTCCTGTGTCCCAGGGCAGCTTTCTGGTCGCACAGCTTCCCTGGGGCCCGCCCTAAGGTGCTGACCTGAGTCTGGCCTGCTCAGACAAAGCCCCTTGTCCCTCAGGTTCCCAAAAACAAAGCTGCAAAGTGCCATATGTAAACACCAAACACCTGTGTCTGGATTTTCAGGAGCTGAAGCCAGAGGCAGCCTGAGCTTGGCCCCTACCCTAGGCTGCGGTGGAGGTGGAGGTGGAGGTAGTGGTGGCAGGGGATCTCACCCTCTTCCTAGGGATTCTTGCTCTGATCATCGCCCAGGCTCAGGACTCCTCAAACAGAGGGTCTGAAGCGCCCCCCCTCCCCCAATACTGGGCGAATGGAATCTTGGAAACAGAACTTCTGAGAACCCTTTGTGACTCTCCCAGGCAATGGCGGTGGCGGTGGCGGTGGATTTCACCCTCTTCATAGGGATTCTCGCCCTGATCATTGCCCAGGCCCAGGACTCCTCAACCTGAGGGTCTGATTGCCCCCCCCCCCACCCCCCATTAGACTGATGGAATGGAATCTTGGAAACAGAACTTCTGGGAACCCTTTGTGACTCTTCCAGGATAACGGCAATGGTGGTGGCTGTGGAGGTGGGGTGGGGGTGACTCCTCCGTCTGTGGGCAGTGGAGGGGGGCAGCTGCTCGCACACGTCCCCTAGGGTCCTCCTTA